AAAGTCGTTAGCTTAAACCATGGTGATCTCCCCATTATCTGGACCTGTCTATAAAGAGTTAAATACGATATTTCGGCACAGTCCTTGCAGCTTCGTGCTAGACACAACTAGGTCCTAGACCTACATACTACTATTTAAGTTATACAGTGATTCCTAAGTCACAACACGATATTTCGGCACAGTCCTTGCAGCTTCGTGCTAGACCTAACTAGGTCCTAGACCTACATACTACTTTTTAAGTTATAGTGATTCCTAAGTCACGATACGATATTTCGGCACAGTCCTTGCAGCTTCGTGCTAGGCCCAACTAGGTCCTAGACCTACATACTACTATTTAAGTTATAGTGATTCCTAAGGTTGGCAACTCAATCAAACTAAACAACTAAATCTATATCTGCCTGCAAACGGTTGAAAATAGCATGTTCTTATTTTTTTTGTAAATCAGCAGCGGGCGGAATCCTAGCGTTTTCTGCAATCTGATTGGCTGCAGCAGCGGGCGGAATTTTACGATAATTGACCACGGTCCGGAATCCTATACGTATATAATGCCGGAACCAAAGCAAAAAAATTTTGTATGCTTGTTTTAAAACAGAAAAATATGAATATGTAATTTTGAAATAATTTTAATGATGGATAAAATAATTGTACTGTATTTTAATTGAATTGTTTGTTTTCTAAAGTAAAATAATTAAACATCAACATTTTTTTATTGTTTTGTGTTCAATATGCGCAATCTAATAAAACCGTTGCCATTTGCCTCTGAGTCTTCGGCATAATAAATACGGTAAATAACATATATATATATATACGACAAATACACGTTCTAATTGGCTGTCAAAAAACCGACGGTCAATGACAGCCAATGAGATTTTGTATACGTCAAATGAAAATGCTTTTTTCAGCGGGTTGCAGGTATCCAGCATAGTGCCATTAAAACATTTAACAAATTGGAGAATACGTTTCGTATCCTTTCGTTTTACGAATTCATTTGTTTCGCAAAATAGTTGTAAGAATGTGGCAAAACTATCATATAGGTTAAAATTTTGTTATTATCTTAGCGTAGCTGTTATGATATTTCGACTCTGTCTGACGCGCAGATATTTTCCTGGCAACCTCTCTAATGCTTTTACGTGAAGATCCCTTTTCCGACAGCCGATCATTGACAGCCGTATAAAAGCTTGTCACATTCCCGAACCGCCAAAGTCCCGACCTCTTTAATGAAGTTCGTGATAAAGTTGGGTGACATTTCGATATTATCGCAATATTTGTACTCATGATTATCGTATGGAAGGTAGCAACATCAGCGAGGATATACCGTAATTCAATGACTATGGTCAATGACTAGCGTGATATTGTTTCGTATGTGTACATAGCTATTTTTAACTATTTACACGATAAACATGATATGATTTTTAAGTACCGCCTAACTCTACTGTGTGACTTCGTGTTGTGTGTGACTGTTCAGTTCGTGTTAACACGTCGGGGGCATATAGTAAAAAACTGACTACTGGAACACCACCGGAACACCACCATTTTGTTTGAGGTTAGGGTTAGGGTTGGGAGTTAGGGTTAGGGGGTGTTCCGGTAGTCAGTGTTTTACTACATGCACACGTGGGGACGCGCGTTTAAACGCGTGTCTTGCATCACGAGTATCTCATTTCACATTCACCGGATGCGACACACATGAAAAAGTTGTGACATTGATTGTTACTGGTGACGCTGGCGATTTACGAGACGGAAAGTTGCAACAACGCCTGTAGCAAGCCTAGCTATTGGACTGGCTACGACCTTACCTGTACAAATCTGATAGCGTAATTTATCTCTAGAAACACCGATTTCCTTTCTCTCTCGATCTTCAACTGTCGATCGTCCTGGCCACGCCAGGCAAATCTTCGAATTTCTACTTTCCTAAAAAAATAGAAAGTTGATCGAATATGAGTGCATACCTCCGCCAGTGACTTAATTCATGTATGAAGCATAAATTCTGGATTTGAAATAATGGCCGATCAACGGACATGGTGCAGTGAGAAATGATTATTGATCGAACAAATCCTTGGTACCAGTCATGTTGTCTAGTCAGTTCGCGTGCTCTAAAAGGAAATTTAACTTTCCGTTCAAAATTAAATTTTGTTACAAAAGCTCGTACTGGACATTTATGTTTCCAAAAAGGGAGAGTATGAAATTAGATTCTAGACTATAAGACAGCGACTGCGGAATAGGGAAGCCCTCCAGAAGTAAAAGTGGAGGCTAAGTCATTCCAAAACCCAATCAGAGCAAGAGAGTAGTATGATCAAGATTCTTGATCGCTGCCTAAAAGGCAAAGTGAACAAAATTACCAACATTGTGCTCAATGGAATATTCTTCATGTGAATTTAAACTGGGGGCTTCAGCACCTGTCATAGTTTCCACAGGATGGCTAAGTCACTCTAAAAATAGATTAAGTCGTATTTGTCTTGGTTAAAAAGCGTGAGCTTTTTCCATCTCCTATCAGGTTGTTCGACTATGCTGACTTGCCGGCGATTTCAGCCCTCACCGAGTCTCACAAACTCATCAAATCCAAGTATGAAGCATTTTTTGCAGGATTTCATGCAAGAAATGCCATTGCCGATCCTCAAATCTTCCAATTTTTCCGGACGGGGGGGGGGGGCATGCCCGGAATCCCCCTAGTTTTCAGTCCTCCTACCTTTAAATATCTTCCTACGCTACTGCTGTGACAGTTCGATCATGTTCTGCCGCCACAGGAATAATTGTCTGGTTGTTCGTTGTCCGCTAGTTTGACAGTTTCAGTCACGACCGTCCACGGTGTGTGTCATCAATCACATTAGGGCTCGTCTGCCGGTACCGCTATCAAAGTTGCACGTTTCTTCAATTTTTCAATCGCACCAATTACTCCTTATGAGCGACAATATATTAGACTGACCAAAAATGGGTCGTGTCCGAGAAAAATATGTTTGACCGAATAACGTGCGCCTGTTATTTCAAGCCCTGAAATTATACTGTATACAATGAGCTAATTACACATTCAGTTTACTCCGCCCGGCAAAGCAAGACAAACTTTTGCTACTGTAATTTCTCATCCAATCTTCATCCAAATTTCACCAAAATTTCATCAATTTGTTCTTCAGCAATTACTCGCACAAATTTTCGTATTTAATCGGGAAGCTGACCTCATGAACCGAGTGAGATCTGCGTGGCCTTTGTGAACGCATATAAAATTCAATTTGTGTTAAAAAGGAAAATTTTCCGCAGAAAGAAAATTTTGTAAAATGTGATTGGCCGACACAAATTCTCCGTCGGAAAAACATTTAAAGATGAAATGTTCTACTTTTAACAATGATATTTTCGGAAAATTTCTGTCCGTGGGAAATTTTCTTGAGTGAAAATGGGCCTTAAAATAGCTATAGTTTTGAACGGTTAGAAAATACAAACAAAGAACTAACATTATATATTTGATAGATCTAAACAGACACTACTAAAGTCGTAATACAAGATGCAGTTTGCTTAATTACAACAAAAACATTTCGAAGATGCTATGTCGACATAATGTCGTCTCACCGAGGGACGTCCCACCTGTCTCTTCCACAGTAAATTAAATCACAAGCTATGTATAAAAACTAAGATAGTTTGGGAGAATTTGTAAAAAAGCCTTTCTAAATAATCTTAACATTCCTTCCAATTAGTCAAACATAAATTTTGTTCCGATTTTTCTTTGAGTATCTACTGTAAATATCATTTTTAATATGGAGAAACCTTCAATCATGTGCGATTTACAGTTTTGAATCGTTTCAAGCTGTGCAAGATGAAAAACGCTGTCTGACTGTAACGCTAACCACGTCAACTCGGCTGCCATACAAACACTGTTCAATTACGGTTATTCAATCTGTCCAAAACGGTGTTACGAACACTATAGTGTTATTCGCTGTTTGAACAGTCTGTTCATCACTGAGTCCTCCAAAAATAAGGATCATATCTTCACAGACATTTACCGAATGAAGGGAACTTGCCGGTAATGATTTGTTGTTGCTCAAATCCGCTCGCCACGAGCACTTCCGACTCGTTTCCAGTTCACTGTAATCGAGAGAGTACATTTTCATCAGAGCCTGCGGTACACCAGTTATAAGACTAGCGGCTGCCGAGTTGACTGTTGACGTCACAGGGCAAGGGAAGACTACTACAGTTTGATCAATCTTGACTGCTGGGTGTGACCAGAGTTGCGGTGCAGCGTATATGCTGTTGTTTACTGATATTTCATACCACGTCCAACTTTCGACATTTAAAAACCACACATCTGAAAATACCTGCAATTACAGTAAGTACAATTAGTATATATAAGATATTTTACTGTTATTCTGTGAACTCGAGTCGTATATAATCTGACAGCCGACGAGGTGCGTAGTACTGGAGTTGGTTAATATTAAGCCTAGTTTCCATTTGGTTGTTAGTAGTCGCTGGCACGACAAGCGGTATAGATGTGAAATAGTCTAATATCAATAGTCTTTTTGTGTGTTATATGCAAATCAGTGTTAATGATTGCAGAGTTTTATAAAGTTTCGTTGACACCCTATTACATCAGCCACTTGTCGTGCCAGCGACAACTAACGACCAAATGGAAACTAGGCTTTAGGGAGCTTAAGATACACCAAATCTACGACGCGGATGTAACAAGAAACTGCCGCAGAGACTTTTAGATTGACGTTTACGGCAAACGTCAAACCGCTAACGAAGAGATTGATATTACAACTCTATTATAACAGCTTTTACACCAATTTTGAAATATATTAAACAATTATTATTAAATTTGTGCTCTTCAGCAATAATTTAAGAAAGCAAATTAACCACTAGTCACGTATTCACCAAAACAGTAAATTAAGATTTAGCGTTTGAAGTTTATGTTTGGCGTATAAATTTCATCCTTTAACGACTATGCAAGCCCTCGTAGCAGTTGAAGCATAAAATTTATACGCCGAACGTCAACTTCAAACGCCACATCTTAATTTACTGCTTTGGTGAATATGTGACTAGTGGTTAATTCGTTTTATAGTTTTAATTCGTTAATAAGTTTAATAATTGTTTAATATATTTCAAAACTGGTGTAAAAGCTGTTATATAATAGAGTTGTAATATCAAACACTTCGTTAGCGGTTTGACGTTTGCCGTAAACGTCAATCTAAAGGTCTATCATCGAAGTTTCACTTCACGGATAAAAATTATGCATTGTTGTGGGTAAAGAAAGCCAGAGACAAGAGAAACACAAAGTAAAACTAGTCTCTAATTATTACCGACTGTTTTTTAGTCGCGTTCGCGTCGCAGATTTGGTGCATCTTAAGCCCTGGGCAAACTAGGAAACATTGTTGCGGAAAAATTTGTGATTCTCGATGTTTCCTCAAATGTTTCCATGTTTGCCCACCCGTGGACACATTGTTGCGGAAAAAAAATTTGCTTCCCGGGAAGCAAAAATGTTTCCCACCAAATTCAGAAACATTTGCTGTTTCCCTATGTTTCTCACTAATGTTTCCTAGTGTTTGCGAACTCTGGTAAACATGGCGAAACATTGGTAGGAAACAACGTTTCCGCAACAATGTTTCCTAGTTTGCCCTGGGCTTAAAGCTCACTATTATAGCCATATATGACGAGAGTGAATGGAACAAGTTTTTATTACACCGGGTGTATAAAAAATCTGGCAAAGTTCGAAACTGTTCGCTCAACTGCAAACTCCACAAAATTTGGGTCTGCTAGTATCTTTACCGCTAAAATTATTTTGAAAAGTAAATTTTCGAGTGCAGGAGCCTTAATTTAAAAATGGCTTGTACAAAATATAATAATACAAAATTCACAAATTTCGCAGGGCTATACTTTCTCTTTTTGCAACATTTCGCCAGCAAACTTTGCAATTTTATTAATATTAACATGCTCTTGCTATAGTTGTGCTGATGGAGAAAAAGATAAAAATTTAGTCTATAGCTGGAATCATGCATTGATGGCAAATTTAGAAGATGTTTTATGAAGTATAAAAATATTAGACTATTTCATATACATTAAGTCCAACGCGCAACCAGTGTACATCAAATTGTCTGCTACTTTACTTACTTTTAATTAATAGTTCATAAAGCACCTTTAAAATTTGCACCCTATCAATGCAAATTGCGTTTTAAACCTTCCATTTCTTTTTTGTGCAAGCCATTTTTAAAGTGTTTTTTAAAAACAACCCTCCTGCAATCGGAAAGTTACTTTCTGCAATAATTTTATTGGTGAAGATACTAGCAGACCCTAAACTACCCATAAAGTTTTCATAAATTTTGCGGAAATTGCAGTTGAGCGGACATTTTCGAAGTGTGTAGTTTTTCTTATACATCCTGCATAGACAACTACTACATTCACACACTCAGGCGTATGGCAATATTTTGATACGTAGTTTAGCAATCCACACAACTTGCCCAAAATCTGGTAAACCACTGTTGCTCTTTCTTTAAATAATACTTCAAACATTGATGAAAACTCGAATTTTTTTATATAGAGAATAAATAAATACATGGGTGCGCGGAAAACCCAGATTTATTTCTCGTGTTGAACATGATATGTCAAGCGTGAGCGAGCGAACAAGTGAGATATCATGTTCAACACGAGAAATAAATCTGGTATTTCCAACATCCATGTATTTTTCTGTTTATTATATAAAGGACAGTTTTTGAAAAGAGATATTTTTTACAGAAAAGCGATAATTTAAAAGCGATCATTTTCACGTGTGAAATTACCATAAATAATGTTACATGTGAGATTATAAGTTTTATCAGTGCCCGAAATATCTATAGAGCGCAATAATTTATTTAATAAATATTTATAAGGTATCGCTTTAAAACAGTAGCTCGCAGTAAATTTCATAACAACCACCAGGGCTCCGCCGGTCACGTAAACCGCCATGGTCACCAGTAACAATCACCGTCATGCACCACTTTCCCTGTGCATCACATCAGGTGAATATGTAATGAGATATTTATGATGAAATTAGCATACCTGGATATTATCATATCCGTAAAGATAGAAATAGGTATGGTGGGGGAGTGTTATTATATGTGCGAGAATCTTTACCATTTTCTGAACGAAATGACTTATTAATATCTGATTCGTTAGAAATGCTATGCATTGAAATTACGAAACCACACAATAAGTCATTTCTAATAGTTACATGGTATAGACCGCCAAATTCTGAGGTTAGTCTCTTTAATGAATACGAGACTTTTCTTAGAAAATGCGACTTGGAAAATATTGAAGTAATAATAATGGGGGATCTGAATTGTGATACCATAAAATGTCCTCCCGAAGCTCACACACGCAGACTACAACTTCTATCCTCACTTTACCAGTATAGACAACTTATTAATGAACCTACAAGGGTAACAAGAACATCAGCAACCTTAATAGACTTGATATTGACAAACAAAGAGGAAAATATTTCGAAATCTGGTGTTATTCATCTTGGAATATCTGATCATAGTTTGGTTTTTGCCGTTAGAAAATGTTGTGTCACTAAATCTCGGCAAAAGACAAGATATGTTCGCAATTTCAAAAGATTCAATGCCAATAACTTTCTTAATGATCTTTCCCAGATGCCCTGGGAAAATGTGGCGCTTTATGATAACCCAAATGTTTGTTGGCGGGTATGGAGATCCCTTTTCCTACACGTCCTTGATTGGCATGCGCCGCTAAGACTGATGAGACTTAGAGGAAATTCTATTCCTTGGATTTCCCCTGATATCAAAAATCTGATGAGGGTTAGGGACTCTTACAAGAAAAAGGCTGTTAAAAATAATTCCCAGAGTCACTGGGAGAAATTCAAAGAAATACGTAACAAAGTCAATTCAGAACTAACTAAAGCTAAAACAGCATTTTTCTGTAACAAATTTGAGAACTGCGCACAATCGAAAGATATGAAACATAGTTGGAAGTTAATTAATATTCTCTTAGGTAAAAACAAAAAATCAAATAATATCTCTCAACTTAAATGTGATGATGTTGTGATTTCAGATGATATTCTGAAAGCTGAGGCGTTTAATGACTTCTTTGTTAACATCGGGGTAAATTTGGCTAATGAAATTGAGAACGATTCTCTATGTACGAACTTTCCAGATGATGAAAATTACCACTCTAACTATTCCTCTAATATAAATTTTAAGTTTTCTGAAATTAGTATGGATGATATTATTTGTCAATTACGTAATCTTAAAATTTCAAAGTCTACCGGTATTGATAACATCCCTGCTATAGCTCTTAAATTGTCCGCGAAAGTTATTGGTCCTTCATTAACATGGATTTATAATCTTTCAATCAAAACTGGGATATATGTTGATGAATGGAAAGAGGCGTGGGTAATGCCAATTTTTAAATCTGATGATAGACAAAGAAGTGAAAATTACCGACCGATATCTATATTGCCTATTGTCAGTAAAATACTAGAGAGATCGGTTTTCAACCAGATTTATAAGTTTTTGAATGATAATTCGCTGCTATCTAAACATCAATCTGGCTTTCGGCCTAAGCATTCAACTTTAACAACACTCATTCAAATGTGTGACACACTTTATGAGAACATGGATAATGGTCAGTTGGGTGGTGTTGTTTTCCTTGATATTAGAAAAGCTTTTGATTCTATTGACCATACAATCTTATTGCAAAAGATGAATGATCAATTTGGAATAAAAAATGTGGAACTGGATTGGTTTAAGTCCTATCTAACTAATAGAGAGCAAGCATGCATTGTCAACGGTGCAATGTCATCACCTAAAACGATTGTGTGCGGAGTTCCGCAGGGATCAATTCTTGGTCCCTTGCTGTTTTTATTATATATTAATGATTTACCCGAATGCCTCGAAAAAACTTCGCCACACCTATACGCTGATGATACTCAAATTTCTACTTCTACCAAAACTATTGAGGAACTTACTGAAAATCTAAATAATGACCTGAAAAAAGTCGGTGAGTGGCTTGCTCGAAATAAAATGCAACACCACCCAACTAAGACCAAATTAATGTATATCGGTTCAAAGTATAATACTGCTACTATGACTTATGATATTCCAGTAATGATGAATAACCAATTCATAATTCTTGCTCATTCATACACATGCCTTGGGGTTAAACTTGATGAAAACCTTAATTGGCATGAGCATGTTGAAATGATTTGTAAGAAAGTTGGGGCCAGCATAGGAGCAATGCAACGAATTAAGCCATATGTTCCTATAAATACCCTGCATACCATTTACAGAGCTTTGATAGAACCGTATTTTGATTATTGTAGTCCATTATGGGACGTCTGTAACCAACAGCTGAAAGATAAGCTTCAAAAGTTCCAAAACCGTGCAGCGAGAATTATAACCGGCGCCAGCTATGAAATAAGGTCTGCTGATGTTCTTCGATCCCTTGCTGGGGAAAATTTAGAGATAAGACAACGTACAACTAAATCCACATTAATGTATAAAGTCCTGAATGATTGCGCTGGGCCGAACTTGAAGGATGCTCTAATGAGAAGGGACCTTGTTCAAACCAGTTATAATCTTCGCAATACTTATACTGACCTTACCCTTGCTAAGCCAAAACGAGAATTTCTAAAAAAAGGCTTTAAGTATAGCGGAGCTAAATTGTGGAATAGTCTTCCTTCTGATGCGAAGCTAGCGCAATCAATTTATTCTTTTAAAAACTGCCTGAAAGATTCACGCTAACATCTTCTAATATACTGTATATGCATGCTTTAGAAATATGGGTCACACCGTTTGGAACTTAATTCTTGTATTGTAAATAGTTGTATATAATTCTTTATTCTTTTCTATATCATATTTGTAATTTTTAATAGTAACAGACGTCCCTCGTGAAAATCAACAAATCGTTGACGAGGCTAACGTCTTTAAATAAAGTTTACATACATACATACATACATACATACCACGCATAACACGCGTTTATGCGCGCGTTCCAATGTGTTAATCACGACACAAACACGAAGTTACAAAGTAGAGTTAAGCGATACTTATAAATCATATCGTGATTATCGTCTAGAAACTTAAAAAGCTTTGTACACATACGAAAGAATATCACGATAGTCATTGACCGCAACGATAATTACGGTATATCATCGCTCACGTTTCTTCTACCTTCGATATGATAATCATGAGTAAAAATGTAGCGACAATCATAGGCGGATTTACTGGAGGGGTTAGGGAAGGGGGGTAGCCCCCTTAGAATCTCTCTAGCAACTCTCTAACCCCACCAAAATTTCGCTTCACCCCACCTATTTTGGGTGAAAGTCATTAACCCTAACGCTTAACCCGTGTAAAAGCTCGCTCAGTGGTGCCGCTTGCACCCCGGAGAAAATTTTCCAACTCTCCTTTTAAAAAATGAAAATCCTCCCCTCCTTTTTCCACCCCCCCTTTTAAAAAATGAAAATACGAACTTTATTAAGACTTTGACGAGCTTTTAATACGGCTGTCAATGATATCGACTGTCGCCATTTTTGAAAATGCGTTATCTGACGTAGGGAAAAAGATCGTAAAGGCATGCATTAGAAAGGTTGCCGGAAAACTGCGAATACTGCATGGAATAAAAATTTCTGCGCGTCAGACAAGCATAATTTGAAGTTACGTGCCACTACATGGGACCTACTGTATCAGCTGAAAGCTTAGATGAATTTCAGAATTTCAAGATGTCAACTGAACAATGTTAATTTGAAGACGAAATTTAATAAGACACCGAGCAAACGATACAAGATTACTACAGATGCTAGCACAACAGTGTTTCGCACGGTGAGTATCACACTTCATATTCGCCGGATGTAACGCATGCTGAAAGTGGTGACACTGATTGTTACTGCTGACCCTGGCGGTTTACGAAACGCAACATTGCGTCGCCGGCTTCTTTTGAAAGCCCTGATAAAGTACAAAAAATTTGATGTCATACCATATTTGCATGTCCACAGCCACCCATGATTAGAATATTTCGATTGTTCAACGTAACCTGCAAAAGAAATGTTATAGTATTATTGAGACAGCAAATATTAAAGACAGAAAGTTAAAAAGTCTTGGCTAGAAAAAGTGTTCGCGCAAGATTTACAGGCTTTTACTTGCAAAGTTACAAGCCTTTTGTTCTGCATTAAATGAAGTAACCTCTATAAAGCAACAACACCCTTTTTTGAAAAATCCTCGAGAATGTAGGACAAAATTAAACTTGTAGCAATATTCTGGAAAATTTGTTCTCGTACATTTCATAACGCTATGTTAATCTTCATCTATCTGGCTAACGAAAATTTGATAGAAATTGGATAAAAATTCGTCGGGTAATGGTATAGTAGATCTCATGAAACGCGTGCCTATAGGTATACTGTAACCTCAAGTCATTCTCAATATAAACTTTTTGCGAAAATGAACATTCTATACTGTACATAATAATATACAAAAAAACATTACTCGGCTGTGATTGGCTGATTTCAGGGCAGTTAATAACTTACATATTTGAATGAAATTTTCAAGCCGTTAGCGTTGTATGTGATATAACAAAGCAGGAAAACTTTGTCAGTGGTTCGCTATAAACGTAGGTTAAAACTACAATTGTCTCGAACATTTTTGTAAATATTATTAATACGTAATAGGATAGTTGCTCGTGAAATTTGAATAAAACAAGCACCCGTGAGTTTTTCAAAGACCTATTTTGATGCTCTTTGAAAAGCTTACTCGTGCATGTTTTGTCGAAATTGCACTCGAAAGCATTCTATTACCTATAGTACTAACATTCATTAAGAATGGGATATTGTATGAAAATTTCTTCAAAAGTTTCTCTAATGCTGGGGTTTCGTCTTCAGTGTCGCAGTCATCAGAACAAGCGTCTTTCATCTCTGAGATGATGGCTTTGATTCACGCTATGGACTCATGTGAAAAAAGTCAGTCAACGCTCTGTTGAAAGTCGTGGGTTTTCACCAGGCGCTCCGGTTTCCTTCCGCAGGGGAAAGTTGACAGGGTGGGTTAGAATTAAACACAGTTAAGAAAGCAACTATATCACAATTGACCATTTGCGTAATAGACAAAATTTTGATCTCAACAAGTTTAGACAAAAAATTCATCACATCATGAAAAAGCATCACAACATTAGTCAACGCTCTGTCGAAAGTCGTGTCAGTCGAAAGTCGTGTCTGTCGAAAGTCGTGGGTTTTCACCACGCGCTCCGGTTTCCTTCCGCAGGGGAAAGTTGACAGGGTGGGTTAGGATTAAACACAGTTAAGAAAGCAACTATATCACAATTGACCATTTGCGTAATAGACAAAATTTTTATCTCAACAAGTTTAGACAAAAATTTCATCACATCATGAAAAACATCACAAAATTAGTATTATTCCAAAGTTTCGTCGCGAAATGTCGTAAAATGCGGATAATATAGCCTTGCGAAATTTGCAATTTTCAGTCATTTTAGATTACAAACAGGAAATTGACAGCCTCAAAGGGTATGGGGCTGTCAATTTCCCGTTTGTAATCTAAAATGACTGAAAATTGCAAACTTCGCAAGGCTATATTATCCGCATTTTACAACATTTCG